TGTCCAACCCATGATCTGACAGCTTGTATCTTAAGCTTTCTTGGCTTCGGTGATCCCAAACACGTCAACTGCTGACATTTTTTTTTCTTTTTACCAGTGTCTCTTAAGTTTAGTTGTACTGTCTCCAAGGGAAGGTGACGTGTCCTGTAGAACTCCTGTGTAGATTATGTTTTCCTTTCTGGCCCGATGCGCAGCTTCCAGGGTTCCCCTCCGCCCAGGAGCACGTTCTCCCTGTCCCCAGGACCTCTTCCCGCCGGCTTTTCCTGTGTACCTCTTCCTGCCGGCTTTTTTAGTATCGCTATGGTGGCCATTATGTAAATGTTCCTTAAAAAATAAATGATGCTATTTGATACATAGTATGTGCTGCTTATTTCTAAAGCCTTGATTAAATGGAAGAAAAAGCTATTGAGTTGCCCTGAAAATAGTACATTCTAGAATAATTATAGATAACAGACATGATTAAACTAATGCTAGATACACTTTACTTGAATTTATCAAGGTGAAATAACTTAGAAACATATTTGCTAAATTTTTTCAACAAGTGAGATTTACAAAGTACTGTAAACATTATTAGAAAAAAAATTTATGTTACATGTATAGAATTTTGATTTGAAAGTGAAGTAACCAAATTTGGTCCTTGGTTCTTCAAACATTCATATAATATAATCACAGAAGCCTTCATGATTATTAATTCTTATTTTAGATATCTCAATGAGTGTATCAGAGAGAGAACTTACAAAGAGTTGAAACAAAGAATTTTAGAAAATTAACAGATTCAACTGATAACACTTTTCAGAAGATGACAAATTAAAAATGTGAAAGCTTAAATAAATTATTATTGTTTATTAAGATCTAATTTGATCAGGAACTCTGGTAACGTAGCACGTATTATGTTTCACTGCTAACTCAAGATTTAATTTTATTTGGAAGTGAGGAAGGAGCTTTGTTTCGTTTGGGTACATGTAGGAGTGTGTGCGCGCGTGTGTGTATGTGAACTTCTCTAGGTGATATGTCTCCTTTTGGTGTATTAGTATAGCTTTTTCTCTGTCACAGAGAGTTTACGGCTAAGTAACAAGGTGAAAGGTAAAATGATAAGAATAGCAGCTGAATATTGAAGAGTCTTATTGACATCAACGATCTGCAGGAGGCCACTAATAAAGAGTGTCAGGCATTACAATCAGAGTTTCAAGGATGGCTTAGGAAAGTGATAGTAGCATTATGGGAATGTATCTGCACAGAAAAGGAGCCTAAATAACTACACACCTGCTCCTATTTGTGTATCCCTGCAGGGGAATGGTTTGGCAATCCACATCTGCAAAAATTATAGTCAAAGAAGCTCTTCTTTGTCATATGGAGTCACTGTTAGTAGAAATTGATTCAAGGGCACCCAACAACAACAATATCTAAACTCACAAAAATTTAGGCAAATTGCAAGATTCAAATAGAAGTAGTAGCTATCATAATAAAAGTTAGAAGTGTTATAAAATACTTTTTAAAGATAGTAACATTGAAATTAAATTTAGGGACCGAATGGCTGAATAGATGTTGTTGCCTTTGCTATGTGCTGATGTAAGGGCCTCAGGGCTGTCCTGCTAGCGGGTTTTCAGAGGCAGTAAATTGCAGGGGTGAGATTGCTCATACACAGGGATGTTAAAAATATTACTCGGTGATTTTGTGTAAGAAAAAAGAACTCAAAATTGAGATTGCAATGGGGACACATATTGCAAAAGAAATACATTAGAAAATGTAGAAAGAGATTTTAGGTAGGGTAGCAGAAACCACAGGGAATTTTAAAATCTTTGAGTGAAATTAGGAAGAGGGTTGTGGAGTTTACCAAGGAATTCTGTCTTGGTCATAATGGATGTGCTGGACTGGCTTTTTCAACGTCTGTTTCAACTTCTTCCTAATAGCAAAGATTGAAAAACAGAATAAAAAGAAAAACAAAACATTCTCAGATATGTTCAAAGCTAGGATTCCGGATATGATTTTAAGTCTTGTGTAAAGCTGATACCCTCAAGTGACATTTCAGTAAGGAGTTAATCAAGGAAAGAAGTTCAGGTACAGCAAGATTTGACACTGCAGCTAGCAAAGGTCAGTGGTTGCTGGTCTCCAGATCACAGGTAAGGCAAGGGTCAACCTAGAGTCAGTCAGCAGTCTGCTCCTGAATTCCCAGAAGTCGTAATTTCTTCAGTTCTACATGATGTGGGGATTCATTCCCAGAGGTCTAGCCTCGAGGCTATACATTAGCTGTTGTAACAGTTTTGTAAGTACATAATTCTTAAATTATTTTCTAATTTCCTGCACTAAATCTCCTGTATTAAATTCTTTTCTGTTTAAAGTGGCTAAAATATATTCTGTTATGTGGGAATTGAACCTTACTAACAAAATAATAAAATGTGTTTTTGTCAAAGGCTTCCAGTATAGTTCTATTGGAAGCCTCACACCAGGAAAGGATTAAATATTTTCGGAGCTAAACCTCTGAAGTATAATTATTTATTCCATATTTTGTTACCTGACGAATTAGAACCAGGTCATAGCTTTGATTTTTGGCAAGTTTCTTAGTTCTCTGTTCCCAAAATTAGTGATAAGTTGTTGTGAGAATTAAATTATGAAATATTCAAAGCATTTAGCCCATTTGTGCAATAAATTATCAGTAAATGAGATATACTGTTAGTATTATTGCATCTTTGCAGATTTCTGTCTTTGTTGTAATAGAGATAAATATCTTTTGTGTCTGTTTACTTACTTTCCATTGGTTTGGAAAAAACTTTAATAGAAAGTCTTCATTCATCTTTTTGTTTCAAAACTTTTTTGCAGAGCTTGACCCAAACTAGATATTTCATGATTCTTAAACAAGTATTTTTAAAAACTTTTTTAGTTGTTTGGATATAATACGTTGTGTTTCATATATACACTTTGGGTTTTATATAAACATTCATTTAGGTTGTGTTTCATTCTTATGTTTTATAAGCTCACTCATATACATTTTAGGATAACTGAGCAAGATACGTATAAAAGTTCAGAAGGGGAAAGGGAAGAAAAGAAGAGGGGCAGAAAAATGGAAAAGGGTAAATTCACTGGGATAGCAACTGTTGATGGGTGGGGGGGTTAAGGGCTTGGAACTGGTCAACGGGGACTTAAAAAGGCAAGGTGATAATAAGTAGAACAACAATTTTGAGAAGAATAGTTATAGTCATAGTGGTAAAGCCCAGATTGGAAGTTAGTCAAAAGGAGGAAAAAATAATGGCAAATATCCTTTAATAACTGGAACATGGAATGTATGTAGCTTGAATGTAGAAAACCTACAAATTGTGAAAAATGTAGTCGAACGCATAAATATCAACATACAAGGCATTACTGAGATGAGATGCTCTAGCTTTGGCCAGTTTGAATCAGATAATCATATGGCATGAAAAACATGCTGTTACCAAGCATTCTATTCACTTGCATAATATACTTCTTGTTAGGATTGAAACCAACAGCAGAGGCCTTCTTCATCATGATGTTTACCCTGATGATGGTGGCTTATCCGGCCAGTTCCATGGGCTTGGCCATAGCAGCAGGTCAGAGTTTGGTGACTGTAGCAACCTTGCTCATGACCATCTCTTTCGTGTTCATGGTGATATTCTCAGGTCTGTTGGTAAATCTCAAAACTGTTGTGTCTTGGCTCTCATGGATTCAGTACTTTAGCATTCCCCGATACGGCTATTCGGCTCTGCACTATAATGAATTTGTGGGACTAAACTTCTGCCCAGATTTAAATACAACAGCTAACAATACACGCCAAGGCTATGCGATATGTACTGGTGAAGACTATATGACGTACCAGGGCATAGAGCTTTCACCGTGGGGGCTTTGGAAGAATCATGTGGCGTTGGCTTGCATGATTGTTATCTTCCTCACAATTGCCTACCTGAAATTGTTATTCCTGAGAAAGTACTCCTAAACTCCCTTTTAATTTACTATGATTTATGCACACATAAAAGCAAAACACCTTGATTTATTTTAAAAAAAAAAGAAAAAAGAAAAACAGAAGAAGAATGGTGCTGCATTCTAGTAAAAAAAGTTAATTTCAAGTTTGATCCTGAAATACAATGTTATGCATGATAGGACATTATCCATACACATACGGGTAAGACTTGTTAGTACAACTATTATTCAAATACACACTCCTACATCTAGAGACAAAGAAGAAGAAATAGAAAATTTTTACCAAATCTTGCATTCCAAAATTGGCCAAACATTCAATCAAGATTTGCTAATGAATTGGTGATTGGAATGTAAAAATTGGAAACAGAGAATAAGGAATTGGAAAATACGGGCTTGGTGATACAAATGAGAGTAGAAATAGAATGACTGCGTTTTGTATTTTCAATCACTTATTCTTTGCACAAACTTTTTAAAAAGATACAAATAGCGACTTTACACATGGACTCCACTTGCTGCATAAAAATCAGATTGACTAAATCTTTGGAAGGAATCATTAGAGAAGCTCAACATGGGCAGTTAAATCTAGGCCTGGGGTGGACTGTGGGTCAAGACCATCAATTACTTGTGTGACAGTTCAAATATAGGCCAAAGAAAATGAAAATAAATCCCTAAGAACCAAAATATGACCTTGAATCTACTACATCTGAATTTGAAATCATCATAAGAATAGGTTCGAAGGATTGAGCACCAGTGGTTTAAGACAAGATGAGTTGTGGGATGATATCAAAGATAGTATCCATGAAGTACGCAAAAGGTGCTTTTGAAGACAGAAGAGAAAGAAGGAAAGAAAGAAAGAAAGAAAGAAAGAAAGAAAGAAAGAAAGAAAGAAAGAAAGAAAGAAAGAAAGAAAGAAAAGAAAGAAAACCCCAAACATAAACTTGAAACAGATGTCAGAAAAGACTCTAAACAGGGTGTGAAAAGCAATGTATACGACTGTTATGACCTTTGTATGTAAACCAGTGTAAAATAAAAATGACTAAAAATTTCACTAAAGCACCAAGACACCAAAACAAAGGAAAGACATGCTGAAGTAAAAGGCTGAACAGAATATTTCAAAGGGCTGCTTGAGAGGACAAAGAAAAGTATTATTATGATGGACTTTGCAGAGAGCTGTACTAGAGAATTAAAAGAGAAGAACTTGTTCTGCATTTCTGAGACTTGAGAGAACTGAAAAACAGATTTTAGCCTTGAGTTGCAATATTGAAAGATGCTATGGGCAATGTATTGAATGGCTCAGAAAGCATCAAAAGAAGATGGAGGGAATACATAGAATCACTGTACGAAAAAGAATTGACAGACCTGGAAAAATTTCAGGAAGTACCATATGAGCAGGAACCATGGTAATCAAGGAGGAAGTGGAAGCTGCACTGAAGGCACTGGCAAAAAAGGCCCTGGAATAGACAGGATACCAATTGACTTATTTTAATTCACAGATGCACCCCTGGATGTGCTCAACAGTCAATGCAGGAAATTTGGAGGACAGGTGTCTGGCTAGTAGATTGGAAGAGAGGAAGACTCTCAACCAGATAGACTGACACAGTGACTGTAGCAATTGGCTCAGATATTTTGATGTTGGAACAGGATAAGATAGGGTTCAGATCTGCTGTACACAGGATTGCTATGAATCTTGTCTGATTCCATAG